TGGGTGCTCGCTGTGTCCATGAAATGAACTTAGTGGTTAAATTGTCCGTTACTATTTGCATGTTTTCTAAACTAAAACCAGGCTTTGTTGGGCTGCTGGATAAAACCTGGAACTAAACGCTATTTCTGACATTTTGAATTGAAAAATCTTCCTGGATGGAAGAGAAACGGCTTCAAACTTGGAGTCCAGTGGATTGTTTTAAAACTTTTTTTGGATTGATTAAGTCCTGGATGACTGAGAATCTTCACCAGCAGACCTAGAGCAAAGTGGAAGCATTTCATGTCAGATTAGAGGGATGAATTATGAAACAACAAAATTATGAAACAACAAAATGGTCGCTAAGGAATTAAAAAAACGGTGGAACATAAATTTAATTATTGTATGATGGAGCCCAGGCCTGTCTGCTATTCTCTGAATATTTTTTATTTGCACTAAGACTACAGAGAGCTTCAAATGTGTGGATCGCTTGTTAAATGTTTGTGGACATTCCTGTTCCCACAGACCCACAGCTTACAGGACATGAGGCAGCAGGTGGCGGTTGCAGCCAAAGTCTTCATTCAGAGGGATTACACCAATGGAACCATGTGCCAGTTCCAGACCAAGTTTCCTTCAGACCTGGAAACCAAGGTAGGAGACGCAACTGCTGCGTGTTTTCCTCTAGGGCACTTCCTGCGTCTCAGAGCTGGAACGAACTCTCAGCTTAGTCAACCTTCTGGATGATTCCAGACTTTTCCCTGTTTTTCTAGTCCAAGGTTGACTAAAAGAACAGATTAGATCTTAGTTGTTTTTGTCTTTTGATGAGGGAATCCTGTCTGTGATTGAGGGCTTGTTTAGCCATCAGGTTTGATTGAAGTTAAACCTCACTGATCATTAAGGTTCTTGGCTTCTGCAGGACTAGTTAGACCAAAAGTATTCACAGGCTTTCAACCTTTTCATATCTGATCACACCGTCCAGCTGCACGCTGGTTTACCTTTGGATAAAAGAGATTTTTTATTGTTGTTCTCTACTTCAACAAACACTTTAGATTTTAAGATGAAAGTCTGCTCGTATTCACAATTCAAACTTCTGAAAGTTCTTTAAATCTGAAATGATTC